CCCAACAGCCAGCTCTAGTGGTTCTTTCCTCAGGGGCAACGGAATGGGGAGAGGCTGGCCGGCCTGGGCCTCGCCGTGCATGGCAGGCTTTCCCTGGAGCTGAGGACCACGCTCCGTCACCATACAGGAGGGGGGCGTGGGAGAGGTGTCCATTTCCTGTGGGACACAAACAGGACTTCCAGTGACCTCATGGTGGCATGACAGGGAGACAGCTGTGCAGCAGGCACTTCATCTTAGCAAAAAGAGAGAGAAAACCTGCCAATCTTGTTTGTGGTGGCAGATGGCACTGTGAGTAAGCCGCCGGGCAGATATTCTGAAAACCACAGAAACACTGCACCCGCCTCTCCTGGGTAGATGCTACAAATGATGTTTTGACAGTGAACAAGGAGATAAACACCTCTCAAAAGACGTGCATCTGTGCGAAAACATTTTGAAGATGGGTTTTCAGAAATGTTATAAAATTTTATGATTTTGTTGGTAAGGGTGATGTGTGTTTCTGCTTTTCTTTGTCTCAAACAGTTAAGAAATTCGGAAATGTGGTTTTAAGACTCGTTCCAAATGTTCAAGGCAGTGAGTTTTGGTAGGTGCTCCCACTTGTCAAAATTCACAGTTGAGAACATTTACCCCAGAGCATGAGTATTTGCTGATCCGACTGGAACAGAAGCCTGGCGGTTTGTTGTCCAGCTGGTGAGGCATGTCTCCAGCCTCCCTTCTGGCCTGCAGTCCTCCTAGGGAGCTGCCTTTTTCGGGCATCGCAGTCACAGGAGCTGAGGTGGCACAGAGGCATCACTTCCCATCATGCAATGCAGTGTTAAGCCAAGCGCTTCAGAGGTAGGAAAGCCTCTCCAAGCTCAGCTCTGGCGGTACTACACATTTCCCTGTAAGGAAGAAACCGGTGGCGGCTAGTGTGGTTTACAATCTCACCCTTGTCTTTGGAAGTTTGTTTCAATTCAGCAGCACCAGTAACATTCTGACAGTTCCCCTTAGAACTGGTCCCTGCTTCCCCACGCTCACACCTCAAGCCTGCTGCCTCCTTCCTGCCAGGGCCTCCCCAGAGCTGGGATTGTAGGTGAGTGCCAGCCCTAGCTTCACGTTTTTAAAATCAGTTTCAGGCGTGGGCTCTTCAGAGGATGGTGTCCTGTGTCCCACAGGAGCAGCATGACTGCGTGACTTCGTGACTGCGTGACTTCGGCTGTGTTACTTTGCCTGCCTAAAACACCTGATTGGTCTGATAAAGAGCTGAATGGCCAATAGCAAGGCAGGAGAAAGGATAGGTGGAGCTGGTAGGCAGAGAATAAGTAGGAGGAGAAATCTGGGAAGAAAGATCGAGGAGCAAGAGGAGCAAGAAGGAGGAGGAGAGAGGCCTCCAGGGATCAGCCATCCAGCTACACAGCAAGCCACAGAGTAAGAAATAAAGAAAGGTGTATAGAATTGAGAATAATAAAAGCCCAGAGGCAAAAGGTTAGACAGAATAATTTAAGAACAGCTGGCTAGAAATAAGCCAAGCTAAGGCCAAGCATTCATAAGTAAGGATGTCTCTGTGTGTTTATTTGGGAGCAGGATAGTGGGCCCCTAAAGAGTTAAAAAAAAAAAAAAACAACTACAGATACCAGCACAACACAAAACAGACACACAGATCCATGGAATAGAATAGAGGACACAGACTTAGGACCACACAGCCGTGGCCACCTGAGTTTTGATAGAGGCTAAAACAATAAACATGGGAGAAAAGGGCACCTTCAGCACACCTGCTGGTAGAACTGGGCATGACCATCAGTTCCAGCTGCAGTAAAGACTTTCATGTGAAACCTGAACCCTAGCACTGCCAGAGGAAAAGGCAGAGAAGTCTTTAAGATCTCAGCACGGGTGCTTTCCGAGCCGGCTCCATGAAGAGACGGAGCTGCATGAAATTGAAAGGCTTCGGCACAGCACAGGAAGCAAGCGAGGAAGCAACAGCTTCCAATAGATTTCTGCTAGCTATACGTCTGGCAGAGGTTTGACATCCAGAATACACCAAGAACTCAAACAGAACAAACGGCAGCCAAAACAACTCAATAAGAAATGGGCTAATGAAGAGTTCTCATGAGGAGAAATATAAACAGCCAGTAGATGTGGGAAGATGTTCAGCCCCATGCTAACAGTCATGGTATAAAGTCATGAATAAAGTCAGAAGGACGTTGAGTTCTGTCTCACTGGTCACAATGACAGCTGCTCAGGAAGCAGCAAACGCTGATCTAGATATGGACGAAGGGAACCATCAACTGTTAGCTCTACTGTGGGAATCAGTATAGAGCCTCTTCCAGATGCCAAAAGAGGACCCACTGTGCAGCCCAGATAGCCCCACCACACGACCCAGATAGACCCACCGTGTGACCCAGGTAGGTCCACCACGTGACCCAGGTAGACCCACTGCGTGATCCAGGTAGGTCCACTGAGTGGCCCAGATAGGCCGCTCCTGGATGGTAATTCAGACTCCCAGTCCACACATCCCAGAGACACCTGCCCATCAGGGTCTAAAACTGCTCACAGAGCCAAGCAGCGGAACCGAGGGAGGTTTCACTCAATCAAGTTATATTGTTGGTAGGAAAATGGATGCAACAGGAGATTAATCACATTAAATAAGGCAGTCTCTGGACGAACATGTATGTGGGTTTTTTCTCTCTAGACTTAAAGATGTATAAAATCATGGACGGACACATGACATGAGAGAAGAAGACAGAGCATCTAGGGGAACAGAGACTAATGGAGAAGAAAGAGGACACAGGTCTATAAAAGGAAGTATGTTTAAAGCATCTGCATAAACGAATATAGCCTGTGTTGCCTATTACCACTATTTAGTTATTATAAGCCAAGCTCAGGTAGTAGGTTGGTGCCCACTGTTGCTATGGAGCCTCCGCCCTTGGGATGGAAGAGTTTGGCTGGCATCATGGGGTGTCCAGGTGGCGATGCCCCTGCTGAACTGCTACCGCTTGGGGCAGCCCCACTCCGCAGGTCATCTCACACCCTCACTGCAGTGGCTCAAAGGGTCTCTTAAGGTAGTTTGCACGCACGTTTATTAATTTTCTGTGAAACAGAGAGTGGCCAGGCGTCTCCAAGAGAACAAGGCTCCTGCCTTGCGAGTCTGTGCTGTCTGTTCTGCTTGGGATGCCAGGATGGGACAGCCTGAGGCTAGTGCCCGGGGCCGAGGTGAAGGCACACACTCCCCTTCTGCCTGCAGCTCTGTAATAGGGCTGGACATGCACTCCTTCCATCTGTGGGGAGTCAGGCCCCTGGGTACCCTCTAATCAGGCCTGATCTGCTTTTCCTGCTTAGAATCCAGTCCTAGGGGCTTCGGGGCTAAAGAATGGAGCTGTGGCCATCTATGGCTCTCTCTCAGTCAGCCCTCCTCACCTCAATGCCCCTGTGGGAATGAGCCTCATTCTTACCTCTGCCAATCCCAAAACCCCATGTTTACTTCAGGCAGAAGAGCTTCCTGTTCAGTGCTATTAGAGCTTGTGTGAAACTTTAGACTGGGATGCTATGACCAGCGAAGACCTCACCCAGTCACTGTTTCCCCCTCCTTCTCCTGCCTGCTTCCTGGGTCTCTGCTGCTCTGGAGCAAGGCCCTTCTCTCTGGTGAATTCTAAACTGAAGTCACACAGCTGGCTAGTAAATCAAATTTGATAAATAAACAAGCCGTTCTTTCGAGTATTGTCCTTAGGTCTTATTTCTCTTGTCTCCCTTCATTAGAGGTTTTGATTGTCATCTCTGCAGCTCAACAGACAGTACAATCTGCCCTGTTAATTTTGTAATTGAGGTCTGTGCAAACACATCGCCACAGCCCCGGGGAATGTTTACCCTTCCTCAGCTGAGCACACAGTACAGTGTTCGTTGAATAAGATCCGACTGAAAAGGCACAAATCAAGCATTTAAAAATAGAACAAGGACTCGAAGCGCCGAGTGTCGATATCCCCATCGAGTATCTAGTGATGGGAAATGGAGGAGCCGGTTCCGTGGCTCCTGGGGTCTCGTCCCCACAGATACCGTCTGTTGAGCAGACAGCAGCACGCAGCATGGCTCAGCTGGGGAGACCATGTTTCAAACAGTTGCCATTTTCATTAACCCAAAGCTGACACTTGTTGCTATGGGTTCTTCTCGTGTCTCTGAGGAGTGGAAATCTTCACTCTGATCGGCTTGGTGGCCAAGTTGATGAATGAGACCCTGAAGAACCACGAGGCTCAGAGAAGACCCTCCTGAGAAGAACAGTGCTCAAACTTAATGGACCCTGAGGCGAATGACACAGTCCTTCCCTGCTCTTGGCCCCAGTCTGCAGAGGTCTGTGTGTACGCAGGGTTAGGGTAGGGTCCCCACAGCCTGGGTTGGCCTGTGGGACCTGGAAGCAGCAGCAAGCCTCCATGCTCCTCTGTTCCCTCACTGCAGCACCAGCCAGAGATGCATGCATGCAGCCTGACTGTCTTTAACACATCGGCAAGCATCTAAGTTGGAGAGTCGGGGCAGTATCCTTTAACTGTGACGGCACATTAGCAGGTCTCTGCTATGACTCAATGGCTCTTCACTCTTAAATTTTCATTTGCGTGTTAAGATCCTTGGGGTCACAGACCGTTATCCGCTGACCTGAAGGCGGCAGGACTACCCAAACCTCAAATCCAAGTCCCCATCTGAGGGGGAGGAGAAATGCTCGACCTGAGCTGGGAGGGGCTCGAGCTGTGATGGAAGGCATGGGAACTATGTGCAGGGCCTGTGGTGAGCACGTCTGCGCAGGGACAAACAGGAAAAGCAGTAGGAATGGGGGCCCTGGGTGTGCAATGGGACTATCTGGAATGAGGCATGGCCCCCAAACCCTGGAGGAACGCCCACAATGGCTACTGGCCTCATAGCACCTGGAGTGAGCAGTGGACACAGTAATAAACACCAAGTGGACCAGAAACCCTCCAGCATGGCCACCCCGTCATCTGCCACTAAAAGATGCAGGGGCATCAGCTAGTGGGTTCAAGTGTCACCTAGAGCAAGGCCGCAGGGGCAATGAGGAGAGCTGAGAGCAGGGTGGATGTGAGAAGTCGTCTGTGGTACCCATTTTCCTTCAAGACCACGTTGGGCTCACTTCTCATCGTTTCAACTGGTGCTGTGTCCAGAGCTAAAGGGACAGAGGCAGGGAAACATCCCTGGTGGCTCCTCCAAATGTGTGACCCCTTAGATGCATGTTATGAGCACAGGGCAGCAGCCTGTTGTCCTTTTCCCTCTCCTCCATGAAAGCCTCTCTTTGTGGCTGGGAAGGAGACGGTCTAAAACCAGGTTCAGCCACATACCAGACGTGCCCCCCAGGTCCTTAAAAGTCTTTCCCGGTCGACGGTGCCCCGCCCTGCATTCCTTGACTTTGCTGCAGAAGCGGTGAGATGGGGGCTGGGGGGCCATGACACGGATCAAACAGGGCTTTCTTGATAGCTGCTGGGGAGCAAAATTGTTGGAGGCCCCCTGATTCATGTCAGGGATGCAGAGCCTTCGGGGGGGGGGGGGGGGATGTGGGAGAGGACCTGGTGGGCAGTGGCCCTCTAGTGGCCTCCCGTCGGCTAGGACCTCCCTGATTGGCCAGGTAGCTGCTGTTTTTGGAGGATCCATGGGGAGGCAGTGCAGGACAGTGGTTGTGGTTCTGGACCAGGGCAGCAATGGGATCAGAAGCAGAATGCTGACCTGTGTCTCCCAGGCGACGGCAAGGCGTGTGATGGTTCATCTGTCAGCATGGCTAGCTCTGGCATCCACATTTTTCTGATCCCAGCTGGATGTCCCAGAGTTAACAATGCACTAGACAGAGAAGCCAAGGGAAAGACTGTCATCCTCGGGGAAGGGGACGTCCTCCTTTCTATGTCTGTAGCATAGATTCTTGTCTGAGTCTGCAGCCTGGGCGTTTGTGTCCCCCACGTCTGACCTGCTGGTCCCAGCGGTCATTGAGTCAGCTGGCCAATTTTCCTACTAGTTTTGACGATCATGTCTTCGAAGTTGTCACCTCTGTTTTCCAGTCTACATCAGTTCTCACAGCCACAGCTGTCACTTCCAGTTCGGAGGAAAGACAGACTTCGCTCCAAGGTCACCATGGTGGTCAGGCGTGCAGGTTACACTGTGGGGGAGCTGGGGCTGCCTCGAGGGCCCCTGCCAGCCATGCCCTGCCTGTCCACCTGCCTGAGGCCCGTGTTTGCTTACAGGGTGTGTGATACAGGACTGCAGAGCCACCCTTTGTAATGCTCCATTGCCAGTGACTGTAATCGAGCTGAGTGTCACGTGGGGACTTCAACTAGAAAACATTTCTCAGCCACTTTGAACGGGATGGCTTTTTAACCTGCCTCACTGGCCTGACACTTCCAGCCTTGGAGACGTGGATGAAAATTTGTTCCATAGGGAAACAGTGCAGCTACTTCTGCTGTCAGGGGGTTCTAAGGACGGGAGACACAACTGCAAAACATCTGGTATGGTGGACATGGTGCGTGTCCTGGGAGAGCCGTGGGATCCTATGGGGTACAGCAGTTGCCTGGAGATGGTAGGCAGAGCTCCCATGCCAAAGGGCAGCAGGCTTATTCTGGAACTAAACACGAGTAGCCATGGACCAGAAACCCCCAAGCACCATGTTCTAACATGCTAATTGTTTTGTGAAAGTTTTACAGAAACGAAACCACGGGGACTGCAGAGATGGTGCTGAGGTTAAGATGAGCGCTGCTCTTGCAGAGAACCCAGGTTCCGTTCCCACCACCCCATCAGGTGACTCACATCTGTCTGTAACTTCAGCTCCTGGGGACTCAGTGCCCTTCTTCTGGCCTCTGTGTGCACTACACTCACATGAACGAACCCACAGATGGAGCAACATATGCATGTATGAATGTTTTCAATATTAAAATTAAGCGTGCTGGCAAGTGATATGTCGGTTTGACACAAGCTAAACCTATCTGAGAGGAGGGAACCTCAATTGAAAATAACCTCTGTGAGATGGGGCTGTAGGCAAACCTGTAGCCTGTAGGATGGGGCTGTAGGCAAGACTGTAGGGCATTTTCTTAATGCTCCACAGAGGAGGGCCCAGGGCATTGAAGGTGGGTAGGACCATCCCTGGGCTGATTGTCCTGGGTTCTATAAGAAAGGCTGAGAAAGCCATAAAGAGCAAGCCAGTAAGCAGCACCCCTCCATGGCCTCTGCATCAGTTTCTGCCTCCAGGTTCCTACCCTGTTTGCATTCTTGCCTTGGCTTCCCTCAAAGGACTGTGGCTGAATATGTAAGCCAAATAAATCCTTTCCTCCCCAACTTGCTTTCGAGCATGGTGTTTCATCATAGCAATAATATCCCTACCAGGACAGAAATTGGTACCAGGACAGTGGGGTGTTGCTGTGACAAACCTGACCATGTTGTTTGTGGGAGGACAGTGGAATGACTTTTGAACTTTGGACTAGCAAAGCCACTGGGTACTGAGAACTCGGTGATCTGACCTGTAGGAGCTTGGAAGAAGGGAATGTTCAGGGCAGTGCAGATGGAGGCCTGGCTTGTGAATTTTCAGAGGGAAGCAAAGACTACCAGGCCTTCTGTGTGAAGAATCTGTGGTGTCAGGTCAGCTGGGGCTGAAGAATCAGCCATGATTAATACGAGTCCAGAGCCACTGAAATAAAACCTTTGTGTTACTTGGACAATGGATGCTGGTCAGCTGGAGCTGAGAAATTAGCGGTTATTAAGAAGAGACCAGCATTGTTGGTGAAGTCTCCTGGGAAGTGTTTCCTGAGAGTCGGCACCCAGAAGCTGTGCTCCAGAGGCAGCTAGGGTTGTACCTCGTGCTGGAAGCTAAACGAGGTACTGGTTTTGAAGGCATGAAGGATTTGGGGAGAGCAGCTGAGGCTTGGCCTTGTGAGAAGCTACAAGGCTATTGGTGAAGATGCAGGTGGAGTGGCAGTTGAAGCCCCAGGATTCTAGGGGTCATGGAGAAAAACTGAGCCTTTGTACCATGAAGAGAGCCCAGGAGAGGCCATTGGTGAAACCGCAGCCGGGTTTCAGCAGATAATACCAGCATTTTGGAGACACCAGTACGATGGGATAACCACCAAGAACAGCAGCAGCCGTGGAGTGGAACCAGCCAGAGCCTAGAAGACAAGCTGTGTGCTGCAGAGGGAGAAGTGACCCAAGTCCTTTGGAGTCCAGAAGATCGTGAGTGGACACTGAGTTATTTACACTGTTGGAGTTTGGTTTTTCTTTCTTCAGTTTGTGACTGCTCCCTGGTTCTTCTCTCTCAAAGTAGGAAAGTAATTTAGTTTTAATTTTACAGGAGCCCACAGGTGAGAGCTTTCAAATTTTTAAAAAGAGATTTGGGAGTTTTACGGAGACTTTTGATTTTAAAAGAGACTAGCTATTTTTAAAGAGACAACTATTAAGGTGTTTGAATTTATAAAGTTGTGGGACTTGGTTTGTAAAATATTTCATAGTATGATTTTTTTTATTAGTGTGTGATCTTGGGGATGAACAAGAAAGGAAATGTTGTATCTTAACAGAGATGTGCTTGTGTGTCATGATGTGGGATTCCCTTCTGTATGCTATGAATATGTTTTATTACCATTGGTTGTCAAAGAAGCTGTTTTGGCCAGTGGCCTAGTAGAGTAAAGCCAGATGGGAAATCTGAAGAGAGATATAGAAAGTAGGCTGAGTAGAAGAGACACCATGCAGCTGCCAATGGAAAATGCTGCCAGTCGCCAGCCAGAACTTTACCAGTAGGCCACAGCCTCATGATAATACATAGATTAATAGAAATGGGTTAATTTAAGATGTAAGAGTTAGCTAGAAATATGCCTAAGCTATTGACTAAACAGTGTTGTAATTGGTGTGGTTTCTGTGTTATTATTTGGGTCAAGTTGACAGAAGGTCAGTTGTGCTGGCCAGTGTTATGTCCACCCGGCTCAAACTAAAGTCACCCGAGCAAAGGAAACTTGAGTTGAGAAAATGCCCCTATAAGATGGGGCTGTAGGCACCAAGCCTGTAGGGCATTTTCTTAATGATCCGTAGAGGAGGGCCCAGACCTTGTGGTGTGGCCACACCTGGGCTGGTGGTCCTGGGTTCTGTAAGAATGCAGGCAGAGCAAGCCGTGAGGAGCAAGCCAGTAAACAGCACCCCTCCAAGGCCTCTGCATCAGCTCCTGCCTCCAGGTTGGGTTCCAGGCCAGTTTGAGTTCCTGCCTTGGCTTCCCTCAGTGAACTCTAGATATGGAAGCCAAATAAACCCTTCCCTCCCCGGGTTGCTTGTTTCTCATGGTGTTTTATCATCGCAATCGTAACCCTAAAGGATGAAGAAAATAGTAAATTAAGACACTGAAAAACAGGGGCAGGGGCTGGAGGGACGGCTCAGACATTAAGAACACCTGTTACTCTGGCAGAGGACCTGGGTTTGAGTCCAAGTATCCAGCTAGCAGTTCACAACAGTCTAACTATGGTTCCAAAGGATTTGGCTCACTCTTCTGGCATACTCATGACACACATACATGCAAGTGTAAATACCCGTACCTTTAAAGTTAATAATAAAAATGTGAAACACACTGGTAGGAAGTGAGGATGTTTCTACTATCAGCCTCAGACGCTCTCTGATGACGTCATTAGCCTTAATTGGTGGAAGGCAGGGCTCAGTCTGTTCCAGAAGGATTACCTAAGTCACATGGATATGATATCAGACACAGAAGTGGACAGTTAAGGGGACTGAGGATAATTTGGCTCCCAACCTGTAACATTCCAGCTCTCCACAGTCAGCCCATCAGCCTAGTAGAATGTTTAGTGTAGGTTAGCCCCCAAAACACCAGTTCATAGCAGCTGGTAAGCAACTAACCATATTGGGACAGGGCAGGCTGAGATGCCACTGGGCTCCCATGGGCAGTGACAGGGCAGGCTGAAGTACCACTGGGCATGTCTTTTAACCCTGAAAAAGGGAGGGTTGGGAGCACAATGAGAAGGGTCTTCCCAGAAAGAGGTTGTGAGCCTCTTTCTGTTCGGCAAAAGTCAGGAACAGAATGCCTCCCATCCCCACCCAGCCCCACTGATGGATTTGTCTCTGTGGGGGTCGTTTCCAGGTCCCTGGAGATGCCCAAACTCCAGAACATGAGAAAACTACATTTGAAGAAAGAGGGTGAGGGCAGCTGGGGCACGGCACCCACCTATCCCAAGTAGCAGTCTTCTTTAAAGAGACTGATCCTCCAGACTTCACAAAAGATACCTGCGTATCCCCCAGATACTGGTGGGCACCCTTCCTGGGACCACTGGTGTGACCTGCCATGGTGGTGGGGAAGGCGGTGGCAGGAGCCAGCTGGCCACGTTGCATCCCGAGAGAGATGTGTGCTGGTGTTTAGTTCACTTCCTTCCATCTGGTCCAGGCCTCCACCCCAGGGCATGGTGCTGCCCACACTTAGAGGGAATCTTGCTTCTCCACTGAAGGCTTTTCTGGAAACACCCTTGCAGATGTATCCAGAGCTATGTTTCCATGGTGATTCTCAATCCAGTCAAGTTGACAAAGACGAACTGCCACAACCGTGAAGACATGGAAACCCATCCAGACCTGTAGTCATCCATGGTGCTAAACAGACCTGGCAAAGCTGCTGCCCATGCAGCCTGGACACTGGTTTGCAAAGGAATTGCTACATGCCCGTGTGGTAGATGAGTGTGTGCAGCTAAGCATGATGAGCGAGGCTTTGCTGGCAGGAGGAGCTGAGCCCTGGAAACGCGATTGTATCTGCATGTCATCGGGAGAGGATTTAACTGGTAAAGGCACATATCCTGATGGTTTTGAACTTACAATGTTTTGAGTTTATGATACACACCCAGCAAAAACTGTATCTTGAGTTTTGGTATTTTCCCAACTCTCTAGAGGCACGGGGACCATGGGACCCTGATATAAAAGCCTTCAGTGCCCTGTCTTGCTCAGCTGTGCTGTGCAGGAGGTAGATTCTCCTTCCCTCACTAACGATGGTTTGGGAGATGGAGCATGTCATAAGTAAATCAGACACTATCTGCGCTCTGTTTTGTAGTCAGTGTTCTCAACCAACCGTTTTGCTGCCTTTAAAAAGAGTTGGTTAAGCCGAGCGGTGGTGGCGCACATCTTTAATCCCAACACTCTGGAGGCAGAGGCAAGTAGATCTCTGTGAGTTTGAGGCCAGCCTGGTTTACAAAGCAAGTTCCAGGGCAGCCAGAGTAGTTATGCAGAGAAAGCCTGTCTTGAGAAACCAAAAGCCAAGAAGAGCCATTTGGAATCCATTCATACAGTTAAAGGAGAAACCTAAAATAATGACATCACACGGGGCCTTTTGATCCGATTTTCCTGGGAATCACGTGTCTTGCTCCAGAGCGGGAGAGGAAATCTCCCTCTGGTTCTGCATGGCTCCTACCATTATTCCTAGGGATGTTGGTGTCAGTGACAAATTCCCAGCAAAGCAATTGGTATCAGGTCCTCCACTGCTCTGAGCTGCCATTTCCCTCCATGTTCAGCTCTCCCCACCTTGTCAGCTTGACCTGCAGTGGCAGCACAGATAAGGGTGCCCTTCCCTTCTTCCCTGGGTGCACCTGGCCTGGATTCCAGCCACAGCAGCCTCAGGAAGATTGAGGATGAGAGCTGCTTTACGAGAAGTTCTTGGTCCATGGCGGGCAGTGAGCGACCCCGGGGAGATCTCTTCCTTTTAAGAGGTGATTTAGGGCTCCCTCATATGAGCCAGATAAAAAGAGCATCACTAACAAGAGAGAGTCTCTTCTCTGGGCGCTCTCCACCCCCGCTCACTAGGTGTGGAAACAGCCAGGTCTCATGAGTTGTCCTTTGAACACTTTTTCTTTCATTATCTGTAACTACTAGGCCAATATAGAGCTCCATGTCTGGAATGGTGGACTGGCTTGTAGCTTATTATTCTGCTGAAAACAGAAGCTGTCTGTCTCTCTGTCTGTCCTCACACATTAGCCTGTCCTGGAACGTTAGATTTTAGCTCCATGTGAATGCCCCCCAAGAGGATCAGCTTTGCATCTCTGCAGCTCTCAGAGGAGGCCCAAGAACAACCAAGTTTTAATAACACCGAGATGCGACATTTTGCCCTGGTTTGGGTGTCACTGCAGAGAGGCTTTCTCCTGCCGATGGTAGCTATACTCTGGTGTGATTAGAACGCAGATGTGGAAAGCCGGAAGACGGTCTGTGGCGACTTATGAACAAGGCAGAACCCTGCAAAGGCATACCCTTTAACCCCACATAACTCAGCTTAGGCTTACGTGGAAAAAATTGTCTTTTATGAATAGATAACAACGAATGTGCGCATTCCCTAAGCACGAGTGGTGTGGAGCTTGCCAGTGGCTCCAGCATTTCTAACGAGCTCAGGAGCGCCTGCGCCACGCTGTCCTCCTGGGCTTGGTCCTCTTCTCCTAAAAGATGCTTTCTGTTTGGAAAGAGGAGATTTTCCTAAGAAGATGTGCATGCCTGTCATCCCTGCTGCTCCGTATCCCGTGGCTCGTGGGCAAGACTGAAAACAAACATCCCAAGCTTCCCGCGTGGGTGACCAGCTGTAGCAAAAGAATTTCTGGGCAGGCAGGGTCTCCACCTGCAGAATCAGAAGCTTTGCAATTTTCTAGGGGTCACTCTGGGGCTCTCAGGGATGTACAACAACCAGATGGCCGTCCTCCCTGCCTGCCACTCAACTATCCTTGGCTTATAACCAGATTGAGGGACCCCATGGGTTATGGGCCCCTATACTGGAAGGATAGGATTTCTTGACAGAAACCCATGACTTTGGGGTTCTGTGGCATCCTTTGTGAAGGGTGATGTTTATGAAGCTGGAGGAGGTCTTTAGGGGTTCTGATGGAAGGGGTTGGTGGAGACATCAAGTCTCTCCAAAGCTATTGCAAAATCCAAATGAGCCCCCAGAGACTCTAGTATAAGGGACAGGGTCTTACAGGCCCAGTGGGAACTGACCAAGTCTAAGAGACTCTGTTGGATTGTGAAGTTAGTTAAGAGGGTCTTTGGATATCCACCAACCTTCATCACCTCCCTCTGGCTGTTATCAGATGTGGCCCCTCCCCCAGGAACAGGCAAATAGGACCTGAGAGCCACTCTGAAGCCAGGCTCTGACTCACGGCCTGCAAGATCACTAAACTCCATCTTGACACCCAGGAGGGAGCTGAAGTTGCGCCACGTTGAGTACCCAGAGCTACAGCTCAGGGATTGGACCACTGGCCAACATCTATGTAAGGTCCTCATCACGGCCACGCTGGAACTCAAACCCAGATGTGTCGCCCCACTATCAGGCCAATTCCTCACAGTCCGCGTGGGAAACATGAAAGAGGGTGGGATGGGGCTCAGTCCCGAAGGGAGGACTCCTTCCCCTGAGAAGGCCCAGCAGATGTGCTGGTCACAAATGGGACAGGCATGGTGGCAGGGACCATGGTATGAGTGACAAGCACTCTGAGGTCCTAACTGTTTCTGGGAGAGGGAGAACCACACTTCTGCTTTGGCTGAGGTGGGAACCCTTCAATGACTTGGCCTAGGACCCCTTAATTTGGACTTGTCCAGGCAAATACCCATGCAAAACCCCAGCTTATCCAAGAGCTGCTAGGAAGAGCCTCACTGGCAAGTGACGTTCTTAGTTCACCTCTGCCCAGCAGAGGACCTGCAGATTTGGGGCCACTTGCCTCTTAGTTCCAGGCTGTCTTCATATCTTCCTATGTTTTGAAGGATTCTGTCCAGAACGGACACTTTCCTGTGCTTATCATTGTTCGAGCTCTTCTTTTCTGTGGAGAAAAATATACCGTGATCAAACTTTGATTTAAGAAAAAAAAACCAAAACAGAATGTGGTGCTTTTTCTCTTTAACTTCAGAAACTGAACGCAGGCTAAGTATTGAGTTCACCGGTAGCATTAATGAGGCTCTAGATTTGATCGGTAGCAACATGAAAACAATTTAAATAGAAACTTAACTCCTAAGATCCTCTGAGAAAAACGAGAAAAGCCACGGCAGTTGAAGAGCCTGGATGCTGACTCTGTAAGCTATAGCATGACCTAGAAACAGGGTCTTTGCAGATATAATAGATTGGAGTGAGGAGAAGCACGATGAATAAAACTCAGGGAGAGAAATAGGAGCTCAACCTGAAGATCCGAAAAGCAAAGCAGTCAGTCACTGGCTCTTACCTCAACCTCAGGCCAAAATGGCGATCCTGCCTCCAGGAATCTCAGAATGAGACTGTGTTGAGAGCTGTTTCCTCCCATTTTATAATCCTCTCTAGGGCTGGGATTAAAGATGTGCACCACTGAAATTAAAGGCATGCACTGCCCGGTTTCTATGGCAACTAGTGTGGCTGCTGGGATTAAAGGTGTGTGTTACCATAACCTGGTCCATAAGGCTGACCAGTGGAACTGTTTTACTCTCGGATCTTCAGACAGTCTTTATTTATTAAAATACAATTGAAATGCCACTACCGTGAAGTCTTAAAGAAAAAGCTTGGCCCTACTCCAATGTGACCATGTCCTTAGAAAAATGGAAGACCTGAACACAGACACACATGGAGAACGCTGGGTAAACACAGGGCAAAGCCACAGAGTACCAGGAATGTCCACCAGGACGACCAGCCCCATCCATTCCTGCATCTCAGACTTCAGGCTCTGAATTCCTGTGAAGTCAACCACACGGTATGTGGGTGTTTGCTAGGACTACCCCAGGACACAGGCGTGAAAGATCAGCCAGCCATGCTGCAGACAGTGAGTCTAGTGATTGATTCAAATGTGGACAGGACTCCGTGTGGTCCCTACATGTGGCTGCCCCATCTTCAGTGTCATGACAGAGGCTGTCACCATTGTAGGTGTCTCTGCAAGATGGCTTCCCGGGCCTCACAGTTGCCCTGGATCTCGGTGGCTCGAGAGCTGGATGAGTGCACCCCCCACTTTCTCTGGGTTCAGGTCACAGTAAGAAATTCATGCTGCAACCACATTTGCTCTCCTACTGCCGAAACAAACACTCCATCAGTATGTGCGTTTTTTGTTTTTTGTTTGTTTTTTTATGTTGGAACAACTTAGTAGGTTTTATGAGCCATTCCTGGGTAGAATCAGTGTGGGAAACTGCCAGGTGGTGCTGAGAGAAGTCACCTGCTCTGGGTCTCTGGGAGAGGATGACTTGCTACTGGGTGGGTCTCCTTATCTGCGTCCTTCTGTTCTAGTTGATGCTGTAGTTGCCTTCAGTGGCTGTGGAGGGAGGCTGTCCCTTGGCTGTGTCTCCTGTCTTCACCCAGTGCACTGTTTCCTGACTGTTCCAACAAGGCTGTGTGCACCTCACAGGCACACGAATGACACATGGCTGACACCCAGATGTCCTGGAAGAGGGCGGAACTGTAGGTGAAGGCCTCGGACTGTTGGTCGGTTATCTCTCCTTCATGCCAGTGAGTCTGGGAGCCTTTCTAGGCTTGTCATGTTCTCACAGAGATGTCTCTGCCTGGCCTTTAGCCAAATAGGCCCTGGAGCTCTTCATGCCCCTCCGTGTGCGTGCTTGCTCATTCATTCATTCATTCATTCATTCATTCAGTGACCTGTGCTGTGTCAGGGACTCAGGCGGCAAGGAAGGGTTTCCTGCTCCCGTAGGAGGCCATTTTCACAATGGACACACACACCTGAGGGTGGCAGGCTCGTTCCTGTCCCCAGGAATTCAGTGGCCCTGACCTCCACCCGACAACTCTCTTTTAATTTTTAGGAGCAAGCTAAATTAGGAACTGTCTTACTGCTTCCATTTAGCTTCTTCTAAAAATTACAAGGTGTGACTCGGGCTGTGGGAGGCAGGGGAGCCATAGTGATCGCCAATGCTGGGCTCAAGGAAGGCTCCAGATGGGGCTGGAGGCTCTGCCTCTTTGTCTCTCTTTCACGAAGGAGGGTGTGGACCACAAGGTCAATTTCCTTTCCGTTTTAATGCTACCTCCAACCCCTGGTGTCACCGGGCATGTGCCAGCCCTCTGGCCTTCTATCATTTCACTCAATGAAAACAGTCATCCCCTGAGCTGTCCAAACACCCAAGAGTCTGGCATTCCATCCCTCTAGAGGGACCACCAAGTCTCTCTGGGCTAAAGGAGAGGAAAGCCATGGCTTTGGAAGCTGAAAGTCTTGTCTTAGGCCAGAGGGAAAGAACAGCAGACTATCTGCCTTCAGGTTCTTCAGAAGAGTAGTTCCTGGATGCCAATTGGTACCCAGGCCCAAAGATGCTCGTGTGGCACTGTGCACAACCGGGTGGTTCTCTTGACTCTCGGAAGACATCCGGATGATTTATAAGTAATAATATGTTACAAATATTATGAAAACACTTTGCTGTATTTATGAGGCAATCAGGACAAGAAAAGGGCCTGTGAGTGTCCAGTACAGAGGACGTGGGGGGGTGGATTTTTGATCCCCAGTTGGTTGGATCCGCTGATGTGGAGCCTGAGGCCCAAGGATGAGGAGAACATTATAATGAATAAAACAGTGGCTGAGAATCAAGGGGAGATCTCGCCTAGCCACACTGCCACAGGCTGTCGCGGGGACAACTTTGTGTGATCACTTTATCTGGGGGAATCCTTGTTAGGGTATGTCCCCAGATCTACTGTGTCCTTCCTCATCTCTGCATCTACTCTCACCTTCCCATTCTTCCTCCGCCACCGACAAAGCTTCCAGGTGATGGAGCCTCTTCCTCAGACCGCGCTTAGAGGACGCACTTCAGCCGGTCTGACATTCTAAGTCAGTCGCTCTGTTTTCTTCATTGCAGTACCTTGATATTTTATGTCTTCAATTCTTTTCTCACACGTATGAATGATTTCAAACATTTTAGTACAAACATTTAATGCTATAACTTTTCACAGAAGCCGATTTCTCTCCTACAAATTTCAGCATGACTTTTCATTTTTATTCAATTAAAAATATTTCCAAATTCCCCTTTTGATTTCTTTACCCAGTGGGTCATTGAGAAGCGTGCTGTGTAAATTAGCAAATATTTAGACAATTTCCCCACGTCTCTTTACATCGTTGACTTCTCGTTTATTTCTGTCGTGGATGGAGAATGTTTTTGGTATGCTTTTAATTGTTCTAAATTGTTTGCTGCTAGTTTCATAGCTGAGACGCCACATGTGCTCGTGAGTGTCCCATTTGCAGCTGTGAAAAATGAGATACTAAAGTCAGAGAAAAAAAATCAGACAAGCATTATTGATGCTTGGATTTGTAGCTGCCAGCCTGCTGGTTACTTTGTATTTGCCTGATTTTGCCTTTCTTCTCCTCCTCCTCTTCACCTCCTCCTTCCTTTTTCTCCTATTCCTCCCCCGTTTCCTAATCATTGTCCTCCTCCTCCTCCTCTTCCTCTTCTTCCCTTCCCCTGAATTGTTTGTTTATGATTTGATTTAATCTGACTTGTTATAGACGCCTTGAACCATTAGTGCTGACTTGGCCTTTCTGATCCATCGCTAACTCACTCCTATCTGCCTTGATGCGGTTATTGTTGTTCCGTGTGCTAGGACCTTAAAATGGTTTGTTGCTGCTCCCTTGTGCTGCTGGGGACATGCATTTGTTTTGAATATTGGTTACTTTTACACATTTCCCCCCTTCATCCCTCTCTTCCTTCCTTCTTCCCAGCCCCTCCATCCCACTTCCTTCTCTCCTTTCCGACTTTTCTTTCCCGCTTTGGCGAGAGAGTGCTTTATCAGAGTGCTTGTGAGTAACAGGCACCATGTGTCTTTCCGGCTACATTTATTTACCTATTTTTGACGCTTTCATATCTGTGCACTCCACATCTCGGCCTCCCTCTTATTATTTCTAATTCCACAGACCTGCAAACAATGCTTATTTTGGCTTTCATTGTCCTGAAAAACCGAAAGATGCTGTCATTGGATTCACATTTCCACGTCTCAGTGACACTAGCCCAGCATCCCCCAGAGAGTGTGATTTCTGACGGGAAGTTTGGTATGCTGGTACAGAAGCACAATGAACCTACACAACACACATGTAACATCATGACGGAGCTGTGCTCAGCCATCAGTCACACCGTGATAGAAATGGCTTGTTAATTTATCCTCACAATGGTTTCCATGGAATGTAAGGCTCATGAGCGTGCTCTGTTCTCAAAGAGATGCTGAGCAGTTTAGAAGGACATGCATACAGCAATTGTGTTTATTGGTTGTCCATGGAGACTCTAGCTGCTCCTGCAGCTAAGCAGCTGTGAGCTCTGGTTTTGTGCACGTGGGTGTACAAAAACATCTTCCAGATTGCTCCGTTCTTTTCAGTGCGTGCACAGAAGTGTAGTTGTGGTACTGTACGACAAATGGCTCATATCCTGAATGTCTTCTCAAGTACAGCACTGTTTCCCACCGTGGTTCTGCCATCTCGCCCCCTCACAGACAAGGCATGCTGTTCCTTTCCTCTGCAGCTTTACCCACACTTGCTGCTGTTCACCATGTGGGTGGCAAAGATGACACCTTGCTGAAATTTGAAGGAAATAATTATTTATATAGTGCACACACTTGTCAGGTTCCAATGCCTGAAATGGGTCCACAGCTAGAACCGACTCCTCCTACAGGACGGAGTGTGCTGTAATCACAAGCCGAGTTCTGAGCTCTGCGCCATTGTGAGAGTAGTCTTTCTTACTGTCCTACACATGGGACAAACATTCGTGAGCTTTCGGGGCTTTCCGGAATGGCTCAGTTGCTAGAAGAGCAACCCCCTACACACACCCCAGGTCTGAACTTGTGAGTTACTCCTGCTCTCTGAAAGATGGGTCCTAGTGTGACCACAAGATTCCACGTCTGGGTTCTTCACGATGATGAACTGTGGAGAATTTCCTGGGGTAGGATGCTTCTTGTAAAACACAAGTGCCAGACGCCGAGCATCCGTTCCAGCTTCCTGGACCATGTCCTCTCACCTTCAGCCACTGAGGTCTTCATCCCCGGGCTACTCGTCATCAGGTGGCAGCTTCCATACCAGGCGGTGCTGGCGAGAAGGAGCCTCCTTCCCACATCACCCTACTGCAGTTCTGTCCCCCATGTCCTGATAACTGGAGGTAGTGGTGCCTTTGCTAGTAGCTGCTGTCTACTGGTGTGTTTTCTTTGGAGGATTGTATATTCAAGTCCTTCAGAAGTCTTGGATTGGGCAGCTTGCTTATGCTATGTTTTCATTCTCTGAATGTTTTAGAAATTACCTCTTTATAGGGGATACGACCTGGAAGTTTTTCGGCCTTAAAAGGGAAGATTATTTAGTCTAGAGCAACACAGATTACTAAGTACAATGTGGTAAAGTGGAATAAGCAGACTGAAGAAGACAGACCTATGTGAGTCCGCTTATCGGGACACCCTCGAGAAACAGAAAGTAGAGCAAAGGGCGGAGGGGAGGGGAACCAAGGGGTTGCTATGGAGACGGTAGTGATGCTGGGTGTGCATTTTAACTGCGATACCCCTAAACTGCACAGTTAAAATGGTTGTGAAGGCAAATTCCACTATGGTTGTATTTTTAATGAACAAAAAGGCAAATGAATGACAATGTTGAAGAAGGAAGAAAAATTTCACAAGTAAAACAATCAGAAAGTAGAAAGAACAAGCCTTATGTCAGAGAAAGCAAGGTGGGGTCCCTAAAGCTTCAAGCACATAGCAAGTTCTTTATAGTCTTGAGTGCTGAAAGTCATAATGAATATAAAACATCCGTAAAAAAATCTATGTGTCAAATAATAGACACCACACTTAGGAAGTAAAAATCTACAAAAGTGTATCGAGACATATGCAGAAGACATTTGTATCAGGATAACAATATAAGACTCTCAATAGAAGAGTCAGAGAACAAAACAGTGTGGCCGACACAATAGAAGTCACAAACACGCGTAGAGTTCCTGAGGCGTGGTGACAGCAGGGTACAAATCTTCTTTATCACTGTTCATGGGACTTTCATAAAATTCATCGTGTGCTTGATGCCCATGGGGAATTCATATGGTAGTACTATTACAATGATGCACTCTAAACATGATATCATGAAACTGTAAGTTATTTTTAAAGCAACATTAAAAGACATTTTTATTAGAAAGCCAGTACTCCCAAAAGTAAAGCCAAAAACAGGTAAAGAAAACTCAACATCATAAAGGGTCAGTTCTTTTCTAAATAATCTTATAAAATGTCATACAATAATAGGAAACATACAAGCTAAATCATCTTACAAAATGCCATACAATAATAGGAAACATACAACCTAAATCATCTTATAAAATGCCATACAATAATAGGAAGCATACAAGCTAAATCATCTTCTAAAATGTCATACAGTAAAGTGGGAGGTGGGGAGAGATAGGAGGATATGCACCTCTAAAGCTAGAACACACCTTTATGAGACCCTCTGGCACCAAGATATTAACTTGTTGCACAAGTCAGGAAAAAAAAAAACCAAAAATGGCCACACATCTGGGGATTTGGTGTACTTTAAGTGCGGGTCTGCAAATCATGGGGATGAGGTGGTCTTTGAGCAGGTCATGCTATGACACATGTGCAGCCATATTTAAAGAGATGAAATTAAGAGCATGTTATGCCAATAAATTCTAAAGCAGTTAGAGACCACATGGGACCAAAGAAATGAAACAGAGAGCGGAGGGAACGGCAGCTTCTCTTCAGCGCTGGCTCTGGCTTATGCCATATTAAAAACAAGACTGCTTATTATGACAGAACAAAAGTGACAGGGTTTTGTTTTGCATGAAAAAAATACAAACATCCTCAAAAGTAACCCGATCAGGGCTGAGGAGGTGGCTCAGCAGTTAAGAGGGATTACTGTTCCTGCAAAGGGCCCAGGCTGAACTCCCAGCACAGTCACCTGTAACCCCCAGTCCAGGGTAAACAATGCCCTTCTCCAGACTCCAGGAACTCCCCCATACATGCAGGCAAAACACAAAACATATGGATAAAATAAATCTTAAAAACAAAGCCGACTGAGAAATTTGAAAAACTCATTTACAATGAGTATCACAGACTTGGTTTTGTTTACATGTTTAACTGTCTTTTTTTTTTAAAAAAATCACACTTCAAATTTGGAGAGGGAAAAAAAAACTCAAGAAATTGACAAAAATGAGACAATAATATGAACAGATTTCCAACCACAATCGGAGAGCGGCCTTTAAACAGGAAACAAAAAGCCATATTCATAACCAGAGAACCACAAATGAAAAGCAACCTTGAAGCCGCACCCCTGCCTCCCAGGCATGCTGTCTCCCCACGTGGCTCCCGTGTGGCAGGGAAGGGCAGTTACTGTGGGTCTTGTCCTCACCGTTTACAGAGAAGTGTGGATCAACCCTGGTCCGAGAACTGTGCTCACGGAGGTTCTCGACGGTACTTCTGTCTTTAAAGAAGAACATGAAAGAAAAAGGAGGGGGGGACATTTTCTGAATGGCACACCAGCAGACACCGGGAGTGCTTGTTTTAAAGGTTGGTTGCAATGCTACCACTATTCCCGAGTTTTGATCTGAAAATGAGTTAAGAAGCCACCGTGTGAAAGCCGTACATTCCCTCCTCCATCTTTTGACTCCATGCCTGGTTAAGAGTTGGTCCCACAGGCTGAGGGGGGGGGGGACTTAATTGGGGGAGGGGGAGGGAAATGGGAGGCGGTGGCGGGGAAGAGACAGAAATCTTTAATAATTAAATAAATTAAAAAAAAGAAACTTAAAAAAAAAGAGTTGGTCCCACAAATACATTTCCGAGGTATGAAAACTCCTACACTTCAGGCTGTTCACCATAGCCATTATCTGCTTGCAAATACCCTACCTACAGAGGCCTGAGGCTGTGTGAACTAAGGAGAGAAAGGCAGAGGAAGAGAAATGATGGAATGGATCCAAAGTTGTACATGGATGTCACCAAGCCTCCTGGCTTGGCTTGCTGAGCAGTGTCGCCATCCCTGGTTCTTGGTCTTTTAGGGGAACTTAACCTAGCAAAAAGGAGCTAGGCATGGGCAGGGAGTCACCAGATAAGCCCCAAGCACCTCGGGGGGTGGGCAATGAACATGGGAATGGCACTCAAGGCCAGGAATAGGAGGATGAGGTCAATGCAGAAGAAATGGCTGCAGCATCAGCTATAGTGGGCATCAGTGCCCAGCGTTAGTGACTGGGTGGGGATTGTGAGGAAATAAGGTAGCTAAGCAAAGGTGGCTGTGGCTTAGATCATAGTCCTGATTACTCAATGATACTAAGTAAACGAAGAATTACTGTTCAGCAAACACTGTGCCAAACCATCGGGCAGTTTGTACAAACCTCTGAGTGGGACAAGCTCGAGACTGGTAAGCACTCATTTTAAATAGAATGATGTTTGTGTTTGTACCATGAAACTATTACTTCAGTCAGTTCCAACACCAGAGGCCAGGCCTTGGAGGATCTGTGTGGGGTGTGGGTTGTAAATCCAGGGCCCAGGGCCCAAAGAGCTGTATAGTGGGCCCAGGGCTGTGTGTTAAAGACCTCCTCTGCCCCATGCCAGGAGCCACCAAGCTTTGGAGCCTTGTCTCGTTCTGTATGTCAGTCACACTTCAGAGTATTACATGTGAGTCTTACACACTGCACAGACTCTTTTCCTAGTCCTACCCTAATGTGATCTAAGCGTTAGGGAAAAACAACAACAACAACAAAACCTATGAGATTAAACATCAAGCTTCTGGAGCCATGGTGCACTGGTTCTTCTAGAAGGAGGCTTTTCCTGACTCCCAGGGCCATGGAGTCTTGCTTTCTCCTTTGGCCATAGAGGAGAGGTGCATTGGCTGGAAGCTTGCAGAGAGGCCTCTCTTCCACTCCTGGCTTCCACAGACCTGGGCAGAGACATTTCTGCTGGCTGTGGACGGTGAAGTCCAGGGCAGAGCTAAGGAAGCAGGGGTCCCTCAGCCTCAGCGCCAGGCTACTTAACTCAGGTGGAGCAGTCGTCAAGTGCTGTAGTGATATTTCATTTGTATTTTAATAAATAAAGCTTACCTGAAGATCAGGGAGTAAAACAGCCTCACTGGCCAGCCTTACAGACCAGGCAGTGGTGACACACACTTTTAATCCCAGCAGCCACACTAGTTTGCCATAGAAACTGGGCAGTAGTGGTGCATGCTTTTAATTTCAGCACTAGAGAGGATTGTAAAATAGGAGGGGGCAGCTGTCAGCCACAGTCTCTGAGATTCCTGACGCAGGATCACCATTTCAGACTGAGGTAGAGGAAAGAGCCAGTGGCTGGCTGTTTTGTTTTTCTGACCTTCAGGTTGAACCCCAGTTTCTGTCTCTGGGTTTTTATGAATCGTGCTACAAAGTGCATCAGATGCTGGCTCCCTGGTAGTCTCTGAGCTCAGCAGAGGCTAGATCATATTTACCATAATTGTCGGTTTTATCGGTTTTATCCTTGCTCATAGTCGAGGGTTCTACATTCTCCAGTAATTCATGGTAATTCTCGGAGCCATCTTCTTGGTAGTTTTCATCAATACCCATGTCTTGGATGAAGAAGATGGAAAGAAACAGGGAAAAGTTTTCTTGTTACAAACTTGATTGGGGGGTGGTATGGGCACTAATTTCTATTTTACAATACTGCGCTGGAAGGATAGCCCAGTGTTCAATTCCTAGTTGAAAATGTGTGTTGGGAAATTAGTATTTCACTAGTCAGGTATTATCTTACTACTGGGAGCCCAGTTGTTTATGTCTAGGCAGATGTGGAATGAGCAAACTCTTACAATCTTGTAACATCTGAACATAAAAAAAAAACCAAAAAACCTCCAAGGGCATGTTGAACCCTCCTGCCTCTGAGTGCCTCTCCCACAGAGCCTCAGGGCTTCTTAACCCCAGGCCTCTCCTTGCCGCTGTCCGTGACTATCTGTCTGCACAGCCGTGCAGTGTGGAAGCTGTGCTTTGCAAAGCCTGTGCTTTGTCTCTGTCTGCTGAGCTTCTTGGTTTGGGGCGTGGCATATGCTGACCTTGGTTTTATCTCAGCCGGTGTAGCGTGAGAGCTGTGTGCCCCTTGGAAGCCGTGGGTGAGCGCACCACGGGATAGGGTGTGTTAAACTCTAATGACCTGGCTCATCTGTAAGCCTGTGTTCCTGCAGTGGCTGGACCCCACGGACATGCTGAGCCTCAGGGTACGCATGGATGTGACTCCGAGGTCACCTCAGAGTGAAGCCAGCCACCCTGCCTCAGAGGGGACTCCCTCCTTGGTCTTAGGCCACAGCTGCTCTTACGTTTCCAAAGCTGGTTCCGGTAAATGCTCACATAAAGTGACGCCGTCAGCCCCTCAGATCTCTCTGAGTACAAGCGCGTAGAGGGGCGAGAAGGGTATACTTGCTTTTGTCCTTGGTTTGTGCTGTTGTTTGTATGGATACTTTGGTTGTTGCTGATGTTTCAGACACTGCCGATGGTGCGTTTGGCTCCAGAATCTCTTGGGCTAGAATTTCATCTTGAGGAAGTATAGAAGGACAGGTTAGAGCTGGTAAGGCGGGCTGCATGGTTGTGCAGTTAGCACTTGAGGCGCCCTGTGAACACTGTAGCTAGAAAAAAGAACTCAAGGAATTGGTGGACCCTCTACAGAACCTTGCATGGATGGTCATTGCCTCCCTAATAATTTCAGAGAAGTGGGTACCACCTGGATATCTCCTAAACCATGCCCCGATCTGTTGAATGGCCCCACACCCATGTTTTAGTTAAGTTTTGTTGTCTGAATGTCCCTATGTCCATGTTTTAATTAGCTTTGTCACCTCTGTGACCCACTATCTTAGGTGCAACATAAGGGGGAAAGGGGTAATTTTACTTCTAGCTTCAGCAGTTTCGGGCCATTGTGGCATGAAAGAAACTGCTTGCATGATGGCAGCCAGGAAGCAGAGTGAAGATCATCTGGAAGGAACTTGGCAAAGAGACATTCCTTAAATTCTTGTAACTCACAGCAGAGTTCCATTACATGTTAACAATCAATTCAAATTTGGAATCTACTGGCAGATTAAGCCAGTCTTCCTGCCACAGCCTTGGTGAGCTCACCATCTCTGGAAATGCCCTCTGACACAATACACAGAGGTGTGCTTCAATAATCCCCCAGGAATCTGCTGTAGGACACAGCCCTCCCAACAAAGCATCTGATAAGGCCACCATCTTCCTGAGGCCTGCTGGCTAGGAGCCTGCTGGCTAGGGGTCATTGCTCAGGCTTGTTGATTATTGACAGTCCCTCACTCTTGCCTCTGAATCAGCACCATTTGTATGCAATTCAGCCCTGATTGCACATGGCCTCCGGAATCCTGGGGGAGGCGTAGAGTATAAAGCTAAGGAAGGTACAGAAGGGGCCTCCATCTGAGCAGGAGAGGCCACCATCCATGCTGGGTGAAGACTTTCCAGTCCTGCCTGGGAGTCACCAGAGACTCCTGCTAGCAACCCCTCCCCCATGCTCCATAAGCAAACTCACTCTGCTCATTCATTCTCCAGGGTGAACTTTGATAGAACAGAGCTTTAGTCTGTGTGGGAAGCTTATGAGGAAGAGTTAAGACACTGTCTACCCGGGAAAGGAATATTCACAACAGCCTCTATCGAGTCAGTCTGACAGTTAAGATCACCCATAGCAAATATATCCCTTTGTTAACTTTACACACAAGCACACCTCCTTAAATGACAGCATTCCACAGTTGACCTGGCTCGTGTGGGTCTCCTGACGCAAATCACAGTGGTCTGGCTCCACAGGTCCCCATAATCTTTTCAGTTTCAACATGTCTAAAGTCTGAACGCAAAGACTCTCTAAAGGCTGCAGGCAAGTCTCATCTAAGTCTCCACAAAAAGGGACAAGTTGCTTCCAAATGCAGTATCACAGAGTACACATTCCCATTCCCAAAGAACAGCAAAGAAAAAGTGCACCAAAGCAAGACCAACATCTGGCAGGGGAAGCATGGAGTTCAGTAGATTCATGTCTGGCACGGGGGCAACTGGTGCTAGGTGAGCTCGAAAGAGCTTGGTTGTCCTGTCCCTATGGCTTGGCTGTTTGCAGTCTGCATGGCTCCTTTCTGGGGCTGTGTGTATTCGTTGCCTATGGCTTCCATTGACAAATATTCCATGTCCCCGGGTCTCTACTGCAGCTTATGTTTATAATCTCTTTTGCCCTCTTACAGGGAATTTGGCCCTGCTATACACGTCCCCAGCTTCTCAGTCTTTCCTTTGAAATAGGGTTGGAAGTTTCTATAAAACAGCAGCTCTTATATTCCATGTGTCTACAAAGCCCCATCATGTAGAAGAGGCCAATGTGAGCAATACAATCGGGTGCACATGGATCCTGGATACGTTGGCGTCTTAGGGTTAGGTGAGGAGCACCACGAAAATAATACTAGGTAGTACCTTCTCAGGCAGCCCCAAGGTGAACAGTGTGCCCCAGGGGCATTACTTCCTCCTGAGAAGAAGGTTTCGGTGAAGTTTGCCCTGTACACTTGAGCACATGTTGGATCTAGACAACTCCTACAAGGTGCTGGATGCATCAGGGGCCTTGGCTGCTTTTTGATAGTCATACTCTTTTCAGAAACCATGCCTTCCTTAGCCCCCACTTAACACAGGCTTTTCTGATTAGCTTGCAAACTTTTCAAGTCTTTCTGCTCGGCCCTTCCCCCTGGATCTTACTGGAAACCTGTCTGAAAGCACCCAGTAGGAGCCATGCCATAGCCTAAAAGTGGGACTGACGTACAATTTTCTTGGCTGGGTTAATTAGTTCATTACCTTTAACCCAGTTTCCCATAGAGCTGCAAGTCAGACAGACAAGTTCTTGATGAGAAAGTGGAAAGACTCCAGGGCAATTCTCACCAGGTTCTTCATATCAACATGAAGCTTCAGAAGCCTGGTATCTTGTTAGGGTTTCTAACTTTGCTATGATGAAACACCATGGCCAAAAGTAGCCTGGGGAGGAAAGGGTTTATTCCACTTCCACATTAGAGTCCATCCCTGAAGGAAGTCAGGACAGGAACTCAAGCAGGGCAGGGACCTGAAGGCAGGAGCTGATGCAGAGGCCATGAAGGGGTGCTGCTTAGCGACTTGCTCCCCATGGTTTGCTCAGCCTGTTTTCTTATAGAACCCAGGACCACCAGCCCAGGGGTGGCTCCATTCGCAATGGGCTGTGTCCCTTCACACTAACTACTAGTTAAGAAAATGCCCTAGAGGATTGAGCACAGCCTGATGTTACGGAGGCATTTTCTTAGTGGAAGTTTCCCCCCTCTCAGAGGACCTTAGCTTGTGTCAGTTTGACTTAAAAGCACCCAGCATTCCTGGCCTCCACCAGCTACATACCTATTGCATCCTGGTATTCTGACTTACCAACAGAATCACCCATTTAGCCCAGTTTATGTTATCCTACGCGTTCTCTAGTTCACATCTTCAACCTGTCCAATTTAAACCAGTTCCGGAGGCTAAGGAATTAACCATCAAGGTTTGTCATAGCATTGACCCCATGTCATTGATACCAATCTTCTGCCTTAGATTTTGTTCCTGGGACAAGTTACCCAACATACATGACTCAAGAGGGCAAGGTATCAGTCTATAGCTTTTGACAACATTGATTCTGGGCCTTTGGGAGGTCAACTCTTATGATGGTTAGGAGCACGTGACAGGAGTCACTTGTGTTGTGCCAACAGGGAGCAAATCAGAGCAGCAACAAGGGGCAAGATTCAGTGCCCAAGGACACATAAGAACATATTTCCTCCGACGAGTCCCATATTCCAGAATTCTGCCTCTCCCTTGTTAGGTTTAGAATCCATCTGTAGATTAAATCATTCATTAGTCAGAGCATCTGCGATCCATTTGTTTTGGGAATCTCCCCACAGGCACACCTAGAAGTGTGCTGTCCTCAGCGCCTAGATACCTCTTCCTTCCTACAGTAGAGCATCAGGGGTAGCCATCATTACTCATGCGTTAGAGGCTTGGTTGCCAGGGTGACACTATTGTGAAGTGACTGAGCCTTCAGGGAATGTGTAATAGGAGGCCTTTAGGTCAGTGGGGCGTGGCCTCTTTTTCCGCTGGTGTGCCCTGAGTGTTTTGCTTCACTACACATTACATTCATGACACATGGGCTTCTGCTACAGGACCAAGCATCCAGGCTAACAAATCATTTGACTGGAAGCTCCAAAAACTGAGCCCAAAGAATCCCTGTTCTCTTCATAAGTTTGTCACCTCAGATACTTTGTCATAGTGATGGAAAACTGGTTATATACACCCTCCACAACCAAGGGTAGAAAATCTGGCTCCAGGCATAGTCATGGTTATCCCTATTGTAATTTGGTCCCATCTCTGTTCCCTCATATGAGAGAGCATCGTGTCTTACCTAAACTGTGTTTTATTCACTACACTCTTCCTGTCTCTCCTATGAAGCCTCCAACATAAGTGTCCTGGACATAAAACCTCAGACTTGGTCTGCTGCTTTTCTCAGTCAGATAGAATCTCGGGTGATTTTCTTCACCTCTGACCTTCAGTGGGCCCTTCTGTAAAATCAGGGACAAGCTTATCTCATGGCTTTTATAAGGTACCATGTATGGTGTGGGACCACACTGGGAGCGGAACAAGCAAGCATCTGGAAGCAGCCTCCATCTCTGTAGCGTGATGCTTTTTGGGACCAGGGACAGCGCTGGGGAGCCGCCTGGAGCCCAGGGTGGACCTGCTTATCCTAGCGTCAGGAGCCTGGTCCAGACTGCAGTTAAAGTTGGTGTCCTTGTTACAGTCTTTGAGATATGGATGCCAGAAAGTGTAGCACTTTATGTGCACCCGCGCTCCATCTCCGCCGGACGGCTCTGGCCAGACCAATGGTACTCATACTGTATGTAGGGTAAATCTGCCTCTGATGTCGGTACTAAAGCTGCAGGAGAGGAGAACCTGACTCGGGACTCAGAGCAAGTCACCCCGATGTCTGCAGCTGGTGACAGGTTATTTGGGGGAAGGTCCCAGTCTCTCACCACAAACCGGGTTCTGTATTGGGAATCCTTACCAAAAACTTCAGGTGCATGGGAATCCTTACCAAAAACTTCAGGTATGTCTTCTGTTGTCGAATTAAGCGCATCTTCAGTAAGTGGACCTGGGAGTGGAGGGGGAGAAGATAGAAGTCTATAGTTTAATAGCATCCACTGATTTTTTCCACCCACCTCTCTGTGAGCGGGTAGTTGTAAGGGATGACCCCAGCCTGCTATAGAGGAAAGATCCCACAGGGAGTGCTGCTTCCCCGTGTGTGCTGAGGGAAGCCTCTGGGACTTGAGTTTCTCACTTGGAAAATGGGAAAGACATTACCCATGGGACGGCTGTGTGGGTGGAACCCATGATTTCCTCAAGTGCCCCATTAGAACCTCTCTCTTGGTCACTAGAGTGGTCCTCGTGGATGGTAAGACAGTGTCCACACCCAGGGACAACTCAGCTCTATCACAGGGACAACGAAGGAAGGGGGTCCTGTGCTCTGTTGTAGGAGGCAGTGCTTTGCCTCCTGCATGGCTGGTGATACTACCTGGGTGGCCACCAGGCTGGGGAACTCCATCCTGGGATCCCATCTGAGCACCCCAAAGCCCAGCTAGGCACACAGGGAGAAGCAGCCCTTGCCCCGCCTCTGACTAAGACTTTCCATGTCACTTTGTCCTGTGATGAGAAAACACCTCACAAGTGTTTTTCTCTGAGCCCCAGGTGACCATGCATGGTCTCTTGTACTACCTGAGGTTCTCAGGAGGAGGGGAGGGCCAGAGGATGGTCACCTCCTTCCTCCTGTGTGAGCAGAGCCCTCCACGGGGTCTGTCTGCTAGGAAGAAGTGGAGTCCCTGGTTAGTGAACTGAAGAGTTCTGGATGGCAGTTGTCTCCAGGGCCCAGGGCTGTCTTATCTGTGATGTCTGCTTCCTGATGGGCAGGAGGAGGGCGTCCAGGGTCTGGCTCTATCTGGGCACTGTGGGAATTCTGAGGACCAGTTTCCCCTCTGCAGCGTCCAGCACACACTTCCTCCTTCAGACGTGACCTCTGTTTATCTCGGGGTCTGTGCTGTCTCTTCATCTGATACATCCCTTAGTTTGAGCTCAGGGTTGGCCTCTTCTTCCAGCTCCCAGGTCCTGGGACCCCAAAGATGGCAAACAGGGCCACCGTCCCTTCCCTTTCTGAGGCGCAGAGCTGTCTGGGAGAACTGAAGTTGCAGCTAAACCAATGACAAAGCTGTTCTCAAAGGCTTTAATGATGGACAATCTGCATCCCAAAGTGCTCATCTGCACGGCTCAGAACAATGGGAAATATGTAAGGAGGTCTGTGCCGGTGATGACAATTGCTTCCCAGTGTGCTGACCTCGGTAAACCAAACAAACAGTACAGTTCTCTCCGCATGAGACATTAATGGATAATTACGAACGGGTACAGCTGCGCAGCACCAGCACTTTGTTAAAAATATTCTTTTCATCTCGTGTCTGTCCCGTAATCACAATGGAAGCATTGTGCAAGTCAGCCGTGCGCACATGCGTGGTATGTATGCTCATGTTGTCCATGCCTGTTAACGTGCATTGTCAAGTGTAGCTGCTCCACCGTGCTTTTCCTGTTGTCACCTCCTCCTGAGAGTCGCAGCTTCCAGACAGCACACATCCCCAAGGTCAGGACACTATGACGTCTTCCCAGTGCCCACGTCAGCATTCTGGCTCCATGAAGTCCACTGTTGCTTTCCGAGTTCACGCAGGTTAATTGGGTGAAAGAGAGACAGCCCTTCTCCATTACGAGGGTTTTTATCAACTTCTGTCCCTCCTCTCAGTGGCCAGCATGTCCCTGTGTGGGACCCACACACTGCAGCACACACAGCTCCTCTCCTGCCAAGCAGTGGGAATACCTCGGGCGAGATTAGTCTACCTGCGTCTCTCTTGGAGCAACGTGAAAACTGCTCTTTCACCGGCCCCTCACCTGAGGAAGACCTTGAGTGTCACATGGGGTGATAATCAGGTCTCAAGCTGGGAGGACCTTGAGAGTCACCTGGATTTTATCCAGGTCGTAAACTGGTTAAAAAAAAAAATCTTAGAAGTCACCTGGGTTAGATCTGGGTCTGAAGCTGGAGAAGATATTGGATATCATCAAGGCTTTGACTAGGACTCTAGAGGAGATAGTGGCCAGCCACAACAGCAGCAGTTTGGCAGCTAGACATAGGCATGGACATGTGGTGGTCGCAGAGGCATCAGGAAGGGTGTGTGTGTTAAGCCAACCTTAGACCCGCCCAGCCCCAGTGTGCACCACAGACCTTAAGTAAAAGGAAACTGGTAATGTTGGGATATTTCATGCCATCGTTGGGCCATGGAGACCTTCCTGAGAAATGGAGCTGGGGACCCGAGTTGGGCTCATTTCGTGACCCTTGGTCCTTGATTATCTCCGAGAAAGGCTGATGGGGAGGAAGGCTGTGGCTTGATTGTGCCCAGATGTGTGTCAGGACAAAAGTCACATGGGGCCCTGCTTGGGCTTGACATCAGCTGTCCTAAAGGCATTCTGAAACAGTGGATGTTCTTTGGTGTGGATTGGGTGTCTCAAGGCAGGATAGAAAGACAGAGAAAATGAGGGGGGCATGAGAAAAAGAAAGAGCCCCCTACCTCTGGATTTTGTTTAGGAATCACAGAAATGACTGATCTAGTTACCCGCAAAGAATAATACTCCTTTTTCCAGAAAGCTGAAGTGTCTGTGATCTTTTGAGCTCACCCTCATTGTTCTCCTTACAGAACAAACTGCTTCTCTGAGTAAAGTCTCACAAACAAGCTCATCCACTTTAATAGTCAAAACTATGCCTAGATGTCCAAGGGAACTATTGGTAGACATTCCTTAGCCTTCTTGGCTCCTGTTATGACCAGTTATCTTGACAGCCTGTAGGTCTACACAGTGTACCCCAGAGTACCTTGTGATCTCATGTACTAATGTAAAATCCTGTAGAGAGAAACAAAGAGAGATGACAGCCTTTGGATGGTGTAACTGGAAAGCTCACCATGGCCATGTGTATAGCCATGGTTAAGATACTTTTATGTGAACTGGTGTTTTTCCTGCATGTATGTCTCTGTGTTGTGTGCCCTAGGACTGGAGTTAGAGATAGTTGTGTGCTGCTGAATGGGTTCTGTAATTTGAACCTGGGTCCTCTGGAAGAACAGTCAGTGCTTTTGACCACTGAGCCATCTCTCCAGTCCTGGTTAAGACCCAAACGATTCTGTCTTGAGAAGCTTGCACTCCCTCCTGTGTGTGTGCACCGTTCCATTTTTGAAGCGTCTCTCTCAACACTCAGTGAGTTCTGTGGCTTGTGGGGCTGTGTGAACACCTGAACCTCTGCAGCCTGGGCTCTGGGTGCTGAGAGAAAGCAAGAAGCAACTTAGAGGCAATTTCTAACCTTCCTAGGGCCACCACAATTAGTAGGACTTTGTAGAACTTGTAAGTAATCTAAGCTAAGATCTAAGACACTTGCTGTTAGGAAGGAGTTTGCATTTGCACGCTTGTCTTCTTGCTCCTTCCAAAGAGGGACTAACTGCCTTGGGTCTGTTAATAAGCCTGCTGCTTCTGCTGCATTGTCGGTGGTGGGCTGGGGAGGTGGGTTACTTCTTCCTCTGCAAGTGTGAGGGCTTGAATTCAGATCCCCTCAGAAGCCACAGAAAAAGCCAGGCATGGTGGCATGCACCGACAAGCCCCAGCTTCACATTGAGGGAGGGCAGAGGCAGGTTCACTCCTCTGAGCCTGAGGGCCAGCACTTGAGGCTGACCTCTGACATTCACATGCCTGTGCACACACGTGCACACGTACAGGCACTCCTACACAAATGCACACACCTGCACCCACTAAAATGATCCAGTCATGGCTCTAAGCTGTGTAAGATGGAAGTTCAGGAAACTTGCCCCTCACTATGGTGACCGATAATTCATAGTCTCAAGTTTTCTCTGTTCAAATTACTCCTTATGCATGTAATTAAAACTCCTGTGACCCAGGAAGGAGAGGCAGACTTTGCAAGCAGGCTTCAGTCCAAGTGATCTGTGTTTCATAAGGGAAGCCGCGAGACATAAAGGATGGATCTTTGTTAAAGAGAGAAGAAAGTCATTTTTTTCATAAATAGTTTAAAAGTTATTTAATAAAGAAAAGGGGGAAAGAAAGGAACAAAAAGTCTAAATGGGTAGGGTAAGGTGTGAGGATCTATGAGAAAGAAGAGAAATCTAATCTCCCATGGCTGGATTGGGTAAATGGACAGCCATTGTAAGGTTCTGAAATGAGGTCTGGTATCAGGTGTGCGGCCATGTGGAACGGCCTTGGCTTCTCTCTGTGCTGAAAGGGCAGAGTCCTTGGACGGTTAGCCTCCTCTTCATAAGAGAGTACAAGTTTTCTTTACCTGTTGAGTAGCCTCCCATATAGACAAAGGCTCCGTTCTTACCAAAATAATTTCCTGTGCTTCGTGTCGTCTTTTCAAGCTTTTTATTACTTAAGAACGTGGAACCCTCTCGATATTGAGAGAGCGAGGGTAGGTTATTTCCCACCTTTAACCACTATCTACCTCCTCCCTTTCCCTGAAAAGCGCTGTCCTTTAACTTAGCTGGGAAGCTAAGCGCTGTTCCATAGACGATGTGAGCTCAGTCAACTCTTCAAAGTGCTTGGCATTTTTTGACACCTCTGAATTAAATTCTAAATGCAGTCTTTCTGACCTCAAGCTAACTTTGAAATTTCCCAGAGGCCCCTGGAAAGTCTCTGGAGATTTGTTCTGTCATCGTGTGAAAGACAGCTCTTCAGCTAATTAGCTTGCTTGTGACGTGAAATCGTACGGGAAGCTTCGTGGAGTAGAGCAGTGTTGGATCCTTTGAGTCCCACCTTTGTGGAGGTATGTCAGGTGCCAGCAGCTCTGAGATTTCCAGAGATTTGCCTTCTCTTTACTAGCCATGATAGGTCCATGGATCGTGTGATTGATTGGCAGTTACTGATGTAAACACTGGCTGCTGTGAGAATGACCACCTCCCCCTGCTGACCTCAGAATGGTGGGCACGCAGTAGGTTTGAGAGCCTGTGTTCTTTGCAGACATTCCCTGTTTTTCTCGGATGTTTTTCTGAAAGCAGGTGTACTCAGCTACAGTTCAAGCTTGTCCGCAGGGAGTCTCAGGACACGGACTAAGAGAATTCTACCCAGAATTCGCCTGCCGATATTTCCAAGAGTGTCTGCTGGTCTTTGGGATCCTCATGGATCCAGGAAGGAGCAGATGGGTTGTTGAAGTGTACTGACTGTGGCCTGGTGGAGCAGCACCAAGTGGCTATGCTTTCGGAGTCTTTGTCTGGAGCATCGTTGGTGTGTTTCCGTACATTTAAAGACAGTTCGTTATCCACTAACTCTGAGAAACTTTGAAATTACCCTGTCTGTTCTGGGACTCTCTAAGTCGACCACGCTGGCCTCAAACTCACAGAGTTCTGCCTCTGTCTCCTGAGTGGTGGGATTAAGGATGTGCACCACCAAACCCAGCTTGAAAATGTACTTTTTAAAGTATATTTATTCTTTTTTAAAGATTTATTTATTTATTTCTGTGCGGGTGACTGTGTGCTGTGTGTGTGTGTTGTGTGTGTGTTGTGTGTGTGTTGTGCATGTGTGTGTATGCCTGTGGAGATCAGAAGAAGGTGTTGGGTCCTCTGGAGCTAGACTTATAGGTGGTTGTGAGCCACCCAACCTGGGTGCTGGGAAGCAACATCTACTCCTGTGTAAGAGTAGCAAGGGCACTTCACTGCTGAGCCGTCTCTCCTGACCCTCATAACTACAGTTTTACAAAAAAAATTATATTCTATCTGATCCCTCTTAAATATCTATCAACATTTATTTTATAGTCATATAAGTATTTGTATAAGTTCAGTAAGATATTATTTATTTTAAAAAATAATTTGTTTATTTTACAAGTGTAGGTGTTTTGTGAGCAGGCATGTCTATGAGCCATCTGCATGCCTGACGCTTGTGGAGGCTGTAAGAGGGTCTCAGATCCCCTGAGAGTGGGGTTACAGACACTTAAAAACTGCCATATGAGTGCTGGGAATTGAACCAGGGTCCTTGGAAGAGCAGCCGGTGCTCTTAACTCCTGAACCATCTCTTCAGCCCCACGATGCTATTATTCTTGGGCCAGGTAGATAGTTCAGCTGGCAAATGCTTGCTGTGGAAACTTGTGGACCTGAGTTCAGATCCCCAGGACCCACATAGAAATCAGGGAGAAAAGAGGGTCCCTGGGGCTCTCTGCCCAGCCGGTCTAGTCAAATCAGTGAGCTCCAGGTTTAGGAAGTGATAACGGTTCTTTAAAATAGATAGTAATTGAGGAAGATGTCCGATAACATCTGGCCTCCATATACACAGCCCCTTACATGCATTAATGTTTACCGTGCACACATACAGACACGTGCACTCCAAGATTTTTTCCCCTTGTAACAGAACACTATTGGAAATGCTGGCCACATGGCCAAGGCATCGGCTTGGCCTTCCTACTCCAAATACTTAGAATCAGATGTGAGGAACCGAGGCTGTGGCCTAGACCAGCCCACCTGGCACCTGGCTCCCTGGGCTCCCAATCTTGTGGACGGGTGGAAAGGTCACTTCCTAGGAACCTAGGAACCTTACAGGGGGCAGGAGTCCACCCACATCCCAGAGGCTTGGAGAAGCCAAATCTGAGATTCCCTATAAAAAGTCCCAAAAAGGCGCACCCGAATCACAGCATCAAGACTGAATACTCCTCACACCAAGCAGGTGGGGCCGTGGAGGCGGGGTTTACAGCCAGGAATCACATCTTTTGGTTGATTTTTGTAAATGAGGATTTAACGGAAACTGAGGCACACACCTGTGGTTCCCATGCCCATTTCCACTCTTGGTAAACTTCATTTTGCTCTCTCTCTCTCTCTCTCCCTCTCCCTCCCTCCCTCTCTCTCCCTCCCTCTCGCTCTCGCTCTCTTGCTCTCTCTCTGGTCACTGACCCTGAGGTCTGGACTGTACTCTGAACTTGGGTTTCTCTAGTATCTCCTGTGAGCAGACCCTTCTTCCAATTGTCTGTTTTCTTGCTCTCCTGACCGGGCACTACTGGCAGCTGAAATTAATAGTCTCTTTCCCAGAAATGGTTTTATGACATAAGAGACCTTGGTCCCATAGGAAGGCAGTGCTTCATACTGTGTGCACAGAACAGACAGAATTCATATGTCCTTTTAATGTGATCTTTGAGTGTATTTTACCCACTTCACAGAGTCATAAGTTACTGGGACAGTGCTGATTGGTCCCCAAAAGAAGGGTGTGTGTGTGTGTGTGTGTGTGTGTGCGCGTGCACGCGCGAGCGTGCTCATTTGGTGTGTATATGTGTGTGTGTGTCTATATATGTATTGTACGGTGCACGCGCATGTGTGTATAAAAACAAATTGGGAAATGTGCAGTTATTAAAGCTGAGGATGGACACACGGCAGTTTGTGACATTATTCCTCTATCTTGGGATACATTAGAACATTCCCGTTAAGTTAATATTTAGCGGCTCCCTGGCATTCCTGTTTGAAAAAGATTAGAAGATGGAAAACCTTCTGGTTCTCTCTGTTCCCCGAGTTCCCATGAAAGAAGAGGGCACAAAGGAGAAGGCTACTCCCACGGCATCCAGGCCGAAGTTTTGTCCACCCACCTCCCTGCGGCCGTACCTGAAGTTGAGTTGATCGGCTGTAGATCAGTTCCGTACCAGCAGCACAGCAGGAAGACAGATAAGAAGGTCTCTAATCCCCTATTCACTGCCATGGTCCCTCCAGTCACTGGAGGACGCCCTTCCCTGCAAAGTCTTCAGCTTCCTCAGCCTTGGTCTCCTGGATACGCGGAATGTCCGGGACCTGTGACATCACCACCAAGAAGTGATCTGGGTTCTTTCCCCATTACCGAGTATGTGCTGTGTCATGGACTTGTGACAAAATGGTTAGGAAGTGAACTGAGGTCCTGTCCTGCGTGGGGTCCATTTCCCTGTGTGGTGCTGTTGACCCATTCACACCCCTCAACACCCCTCGTGGGCCCTCCCTGTGGGTCTGCTTTAACAAGCCTTAGTTAGTAGGAGCCTCCCCATGGCCGTAGCCCAGCAGCTAGAATCAAGGGGCAGGAGCTGACCTGGTCAGATAGGGCCAACAGTACCTTCCAGATTCAGTGCGGACCCTAGGACGGCTGCCACCAGTAACCCTCGGCTCTTTATTTTTGGCGTATGGAGTTGGTGTGAGGCTTTCTTGGTAGACGTAACCAATCAACCTCAGAGAATGAGAGTGAGGAATCTAGGTTTTGGGGTAGCCACAAAGACACAGAGCACTGTGGACCACCCAGGTGTCATGATTTGAGCCCTCTGAGCTAATAAAGGGTGTGAACAGGACCCAGGCATGGAGCCACAGCTCTCCAGGGTGTGACTCAGTTGAGTGACTGAAGACAAAGGGACATGGCCAGGCCCTGGTGAGGTAGTGAACCTCTCTATGATGTAGGACCCAGCAGGATGTGGGACTGAGCCTAGCAGAGAAGATTCACCCCAAAAGACAATCTGTATGGTTATCCCCAAAGCTGGTCCCCTAAAGTAACCAGTGTGTACTGTCACCTGTAACTGGATTAGCTCTGCAGGGCTGATTCGTCTGGTGGTCCAGTGTGACTTCATGCCTCTAACCTGCCATGTCCTGCTTCTTGTCCTGTTGTGGTTCACTGAGCTTGGTCACTACTGGGGAGACAGCACACCCACTAGAGACAAGCCCTTCCTGTATCCCATTTGCTGACCCACCAGCCAGACTCAAGAGAGCTGCACAGAGAAGGTGTCTGAGCTGCTTAGGCCACAGAGGTCTTGCTGCCTGTTTGCAGAGACACTGGGTTTACCGGGTGGAGGCAATGGGGTATCAGGGTACCAGTTGCTCCCCAGGATTCCAGTTTATAGATAGATTCCAAATTTTCCTCTGGTCTTTGCTACCTGTTAGCAAGAATTATATACAACTACCCCTTTGCATGGATGTTTTAAAAAAAGCATTAAAATAAAGAGGGAATTCAGAATGTTGACCTATTGACAGCCATTTTGTGGAAAGCAGACTTTAACTCACTGGTATATCTGGCTTGGGACAAGTAGATACCCACCCTCAGTGGAGGGATTGGCTTGAGTCCCGGGCATTTGGTTTCTGCATCTTCTGAGAAGGTTCCAGGAGAAAGAGGCAAATACTGTTGTTGTTGTTGTTTAAATAACTTTAATTTTAAAAATATTGGTGGGGGCTGGAGAGATGGCTCAGCAGTTAAGAACACTAACTGTTCTTCCAGAGGACCTGGGTTCACTTCCCAGCGCCCACATGGCAGCTCACAACTGTCTGTAACTCCAGTTCCAGGGAACCCAACAGCCTCATACAGACATGCATGCAGGCAAAACACCAATGCACATAAAATAAAAATAAGTAAAAATTTAGAGACAGGGCCTCATGTACACCGTCTTGACCTTAAACTCAGTGTGTAGTCAAGAATGGCTGAGTTCCTGATCCTCCTGCCTCTACCTCCCAAGTGATGGACTCACAAGCATGGACTGCCATGCTCATGTTAGTGTTTTTTTTAAAAGAATGATTTCTATGGGTGTTTTGAATACATGTGTGTAGGTACACCACAGAAGAAGGTGTCAAATTCCCTGGAACTGGAGTTTTAGACTGTTGTTAGACCTCATGTAGGTGCTGGGACCTGAACCCAGAGACTGGACAAACAGCCATTAAGCCATCTTTCTAGCCCCGTGGCTTTTTTTTTCTTTTTTTTTTTTTTTAACAATCAGACTTTCCTTAATGTTTTGACTTTTGGAAACGTATGAATTCAGGAAGGTTGTAAGAACAGTCATCCTCATTTCTGGAGTTCTGCGCTCACGGCATCTTGGAACATTCCATTGTTAGAGTAAATATCATAACACATACTTACCATGGAGAATTCAAGTGATAGAAATACAAGAAGGTGACATTTAGAAAATATCTCAGTTCCGGTGGCAGGTCGTGATCTGTGGCTGAGGAACCAGCATCCTGCAGAACATTCCGGGGGATTCCAGCTGCTTCCTGCCTCTCTCTGGGTTCTGACGCTTTCTTAGGCTCATTTTGTGCACAGCACCCATGGGAGAAGAGCAAAGTGGACATCCTCCCCAGTTTCCCTCCTGTAGAAGCCCCTTCCTGCTTACGATGCTCGTGGAAAGATGTCTCAGGTCTAGTAGCACTCTGCATGGGCTATGCTCACTGTGATCGAGGCTCCCGAGTGGTCAGTGCATGATTTACTTCCTGGCCCAGCCACGAACCAATTAGTGGTCTGGACACATCACTTGTTCTGAGCCTCAGTGTCCTCTTTGTCCAACCGCCATGGTTTCATTGGGTGAGCCACGGCTTCCTCCTAACAGGCTAAGATTTCTGAGAAGCTCAGTGTTGAGAACGGCTGGCATCTCTTCAATCCATGGACTCTCCCTCTGAGGGGCTCAGTGGGACAGTCTGAATCTGGGCTGGACTCAGCTATTCTCAAGCACTCTGGTCATTGTCCTCTCTCAGCTGGGGTGACATGGATGACCTGTTTCTCAAGGCTGGTTCTAGTATATTCTCATGATCTTGCCAGAAGAGGATTAAGGGTAAGCCAGGCCAAAAGCCCAGCAGGGTCTCTCTGCCTTCCCGGTGCCCCTTGGTGAATACCGGGCAGCTGAGCATGGAAGGGGTGGGGTGCCCTTTACCCCGCAGGCCCGCAGGTCAGAGACTCCCAGCCGAAGATCCTTCCCAAAGCCCTTTTGTGTTGTTTTCATTTATGAAAATATCCCACAGACCCATAATTTGGCAATATACATACAACCAATTGTTTTAAAAACAGAAGTGATGCCGGCTATTATAATGTAAACTGTTTTCTAAATGAAAGAATTAAAGGAATGTAATTGGAGAAGCATACAAACAGTGGTTAAGACGCTGCCTCTGGGAAGACATAGTACAAGTTATAATCTTCCTCTATGGGTGTGCGTTGTTGGTGTCTAATCAGGCATGTGAATGGATTCAGGTGTTCTGTCCTATTAGCTGGAAATTGCTCTGCTATTTGCTGAGCTGTTTGTGTTACATTGTTACTGGCTCTGAGTTTCTCTTTCTCTGGAGCTCCTTCCTCTGGCCCCTGCAATCTATATAATTGTCTTCCTCACTTTTGTCTTTAGGAAGCTTTAAATAGAGCTCCCTGGATGATGTGTGGTATCCGAGGGAGCATTCTGGAGCCTCACAGAAGAACCCTAGAGCTGTGGAGCTGTGACAGAGATACTGCAGCTGGCAGAAGCTGCACTTCCATCTCACAGGGCCACCACAGGTCTGTCACCAATAGCCTGTCCCCTCTAATGAGGGTCACAGGAGAATCCCTGCTGACCAGCCTCTGTAGTGAGGGTTTGACCTCAGTCCACCATGATTGCTCTCTGTTCCAAGGATTCTTGGACTGAGGGGTTAGTGGCAGAAACACCAAGGGAACTTGCCTTTTCTGGGGAAGCAACAGCGAAAGGTTTGCTGGGTAAGGAAAGCCTTTAACATCGTCCTGCATTCATTCATTCACTGGTTTTCCTCTCTCTGTCTCCCTCTCATGGAGCATGCTTCCTGGCAAGCCCAGGGCTCCGCACTGATATTCCTGGACATTAGACTACTGGTCACTTTCTCCAGTTCAACACCTCCCAACATGTGCTGGAGCCAACAGTCAGGGCCACTAGCATGGCAGCTGCTCCAAACACAGGGTCCTGCAACCTGGCAGGTATGTAGTCAGGGCCACTAGCATGGGAGCTGCTCCAAACACAGGGCCCTGCAACCTGGCAGGTATGCTCTCCAGTGCTGGGTGTGCCAGCCTTTTGAATTCAAAGGAATCCAATAGTACTGTAAGGAAGAACTTCCACAAAATCAAATGAAGTCTCTACCCGAAGACATCTCCTGGGTGACGTGAGATAGATGAGGCACTGCGGTGTAGCCATTAGAGAATCCTTATACAAGCTATGGATCCTAAGGCCACGTAGTCACCTCTGTCATATCCACAGCCTGTCCTTGACCACACCACAGAGCATGACTTATAGGTGTGCAATGCACAACGGAGCAGTTGTGCAAGAGTGGTTCTGCTGGAAGGGACGACATTGCTGAGAGAACAGAGTGATAGCCGGGAAGCTAGGAGGGAGGAGAGAGATGAAGAGATGTCAGAGACAATCCCTCAGGGGCTGGGGGCCTGGTCCCTCAGGGGCTGGGGGCACGGCTCATTTGCTAAAGTGCTTGCTTTGCATGAGAGGCTGAGTTCCATCCCCAGAACCCATCTTGAAAACAACAAACAAAAACCCATGCTGGCTCATAGTTGTAATCCCAGCACTAGGAAGGAGGCAGAGACAGGTGGGTCACTGGCGTTTACTGACCAGTCATCCTGACCCCTCCAGTGAGAGGTACTGACTCAAAAAAACAACCAACCAACAAACAAACAGTGGATGGGGCCTGAGGAATGACATGAGCAGCCGAGGTTGTGCTCTGGCTTACAATACACATGCGCCGGCACACACATATCTACATACATGTTTTCTCAGACAACTGTTATTTGTAAAATAAATTCAGTTTTCTTGTATGTATATATGTGCGTGTGTGTGTCTGTGCATGTGTGTATGCGTGTGTGCAAGCATGTGTGTGCATGCATGTGCACACATGTGCACACCTGCATATATGGAGGCCAGAGACTTGCACCACGTGTTCTCGGTTACCTCTATCTTCTTTTCATGCAGCAGGGCCTCTCACAGAACCTGAGCC